TGAAGGTTTGGATAACGACATATTAGAAATAATATTAATGTTTTGTCATTTATCAGCCAATGTATTGGTATTGGAAATATTACTCCGCATCAGCCCCACAAAAATGTGTATCTGTCGAGCTCTATTCGTAATTTTTGAATGTGCTCCTTGTTACATGATACATTATTTTGGAGGGTACAGACCTTCAGGTTCCCAGAGGATAAATTCTACCAATTTTGAGTATCCTACCACTTTATCTCTAACGCCACCAGCAAATATCCCAATATCTCCTGCATGGCTTGGGGCAAAAAGTGATTCACAGTTCCCAGATGATGAACTTTAACAACTTTGGTGGTCCCTCCACCAAACGCCACCATCTGCTCCAAAGTTTTTTTTAACCAAACCTGCAAAAATAATGATATACATATCAACCTCAGCTTTATTTTGTATTTAATGCAAAGGAACCTCACCAAGCTGCCTACATGGCTGTTGTTGGATCACGATTCCACCTCTTTGACGTTAATTTATGTCTCAGGTGCACATGTGATTGAATGTCTTATGTAATGACCAGGTGCTCACTGTTTCACTGCTGACACTGACATTCCTGTTTTGCTGTCTCTGCTGTTCTCAGTGTGCCGACGGGAAGGTGGATGCTCTGTCTGAAGCTCTCCAGACCACAGTGGCCAAGTGGAAGGGTCGCATCCCCATGCCGCTCCCCCTGGAGCCCTACACCTCCTCGAGCTTCATCGGCCTCTTCGTGGAGGAGCAGGTGGCGGAGGTGCTGAAGAGTTTCGCTGCTGATTTTGCCACAGAAGCAGCAGCTAAAGCAGGTTTGAGTCACACTATAAACCACCACTGTCAGATGTGGACTTACTGCATTTACTGTTATCATCTTTTGGGGATTAGCACCACTGTATCACCAGATAATATAGATCCATTGTGTGTAAATGTTGTAAAATCAACATACATCATTGTCATATATCCGGTGTTCAAATGTTCCTCTTTTTTTCTTTTATCCAGATGTTCATGTGGAGCCCCACAAGAAACAGCTTCATGTCACTTTGGCGTACCACTTCCAAGCCAGTCACCTTCCAACTTTGGATAAGTTAGCCAAAAGCGTGGATGTGTCTTTGGGCTGTGACTGGCTGGCTGTGCTCTTCTCGCGGGACATTCGATTTGCAAACCACGAGGTAGATACAGTTTCCCTTACTTAGTTAATTAATTTTTGCATTAAGTGAAAGAAATGTTGAAATTCGTTTCACCACTGTTAATGGTTGTTCACGATCTGCCCACTGTAGACACTGCAAGTCATGTACCCATACGTGCCACAGAATGACGACGAGCTCGAGCTGGTGACGGGGGACTTCATCTTCACGTCTCCAGTGGAGCAGAGCAGCGCCAGCGAGGGCTGGGTGTACGGCTCGTCGCTGGGCACGGGGCTGTCCGGCCTGCTGCCAGAGAACTACGTCAACCGTGCTGATGAGTCTGACACCTGGGTTGTTCACGGGTACGGGAAGCGAAGCGCGATACTTAACTGCACAAACACAAACAAAATCCATGGAGGCCTTCAAAACGTCCCATTGTGCCACAACTTCACAGAAACGCCAACGTCAAACTTGGAAATCCCTTCAGTGTGTTTTTTTACAGCACAAATAAGGGGATGTTTTGAATCAGCTGGAAAGATCACAGCAAGAGAACAGAAATGAATCATTGTGTTGACCTGCTTTCCTACTGGCCCTGCGACTTAGCTTCTTTGTCCACATCATTATTCTCTTTGAACATGTTGTGTTTCACTGTCATAGGGATTTCTCAGCAGTCAACACTAAATTACAGAACTCACTTCCTCCTGGTATTTTCTTTTGATATTTTCACGACTTCACAATTTTACTTACTATCATTTTTAATAATATAATAATGCAACTATTTCTGTAGCTTTTCAA